GCCTCAAAATAAAGAAAAAATTCGCAAACCTACAAGGAGAAATAGACAATCTACAGTCATAATGAGATATATTTTTAACACACTTCGCTCAGTAACTCTTAATAACAAGCAGATAAAAAGTCAGTAAAAATAAAGATATGAATGCAGGGCCAACAAACAATCTGATGGACACATATCAGTATATAGAATACTAAATCCAAAAAGGGCAGAATCAAAAAAATTATTCAGATCCTCTGTGAAAAAGGAAGTCTCTACATATTTGAAAAGAATGAAATAATACAAAATATGTTCTCTGACCACAATAGAACTTAAGCTTGAAATCACTAACAAAAAGATTTTTTAAAAGTCATCCTTTGGAAATGAAGTACTATACTTCTACAACATGGGTCAAAAAAGAAATGAAAATATAAAGTAGAAAATATTTTTAGCTGAATGATAATCAAAACTCGAGGGAAGCCGGGCGCGGTGGCTCACGCCTGTAATCCTAGCACTCTGGGAGGCCGAGGCGGGCGGATTGCTCAAGGTCAGGAGTTCAAAACGCAGCCTGAGCCGAGACCCCGTCTCTACCATAAAAATAGAAAGAAATTAATTGGCCAACTAATATATATATATATAAAAAATCAGCCGGGCATGGTGGTTGTGCCTGTAGCCCCAGCTACTCGGGAGGCTGAGGCAGGAGGATCGCTTGAGCCCAGGAGTTTGAGGTTGCTGTGAGCTAGGCTGACGCCACGGCACTCACTCTAGCCTAGGCAAGAAAGCGAGACTCTGTCTCAAAAAAAAAAAAAAAAAACTCGAGGGAAGAAGCTGAATCTGTGCTTATTTTTTTTTTTTTGAGACAGAGTCTCACTTTGTTACCCAGGCTAGAGTGAGTGCCGTGGCGTCAGCCTAGCTCACAGCAACCTCAAACCCTGGCTCAAGCATTCTGCTGCCTCAGCCTCCTGAGTAGCTGGGACTACAGGCATGCACCACCCATGCCCGGCTAATTTTTTCTATATATATTAGTGGCCAATTAATTTCTTTCTGTTTATAGTAGAGCCGGGGTCTCGCTCTTGCTCAGGCTGGTTTTGAACTCTTGACCTTGAGCAATCCACCAGCCTCGGCCTCCCAGAGAGCTAGGATTACAGGCGTGAGCCACCGCGCCTGGCCCTGAATCTGTGCTTATTAAGGGAAACTTTTATCATTTCATTGCATAAAAAAAGGCATAAAAACTGATGAACTAAGTTCATCTCGAGAAGATACAAAAACAACAGTAAATTGAAGTTAAAGAAGTAATAAAGTTAGAAAATAAATTAATAAAATAAAAACAAATATATTAATATTATATTCACCAGCTTTTCCTTAGTGAAAGTGCCCAAGAAAAATGAGAAAATAAATAACCAATGTCAGGAATGAAAAAGAAGGTATTACTATAGGTCCTTACTATATGTCTGTGTCTTATAGACATTGCTATAGAACCATAAAAAGATATTTTAAACTTTATATAAATCAATTTTAAAATATAAATGAAATAGATATATTCCTTGAAAAATGCATATACAAATTGACAGAAGGATAGAAAATTTGAATAACCCTTCAACTATTAAAAAAATTAAATATACAATTTAGAACTTTACAATTAGGAAAACTCCAGTCCCAGATGGCTTTAAACAAACATTTAAGGAAGAAACGGCAATATTACACAAACCCTTTAAGAGTATAGGAAAAACAGCTACCGTGTTTCCCCGAAAATAAGACCTACCCATAAAATAAGCCCTAGCAGGATTTCTAAGCATTTGCACCATATAAGCCCCACCCTGAAAATAATACCTAGTGCTGGGCATGGCTATGCAGCGTATCTGCACAACCCATGCATTTCGTCGTGGAGCAGAAGACGAGCAGCCCTTCTCATCTGCCCCATGAGAACTCTCTTGCTGGACTTGAGAGATTGGGGCCAATGGTTCTTACAGGAAATAGAGTCGCAAGAAATTCAGGATGGAATTCGGGGTTTGAGGAGTTATGATGATGTTCCAGAAGATGACTTAACCATATTTGAATAATGTAGACTGTTGTACCGTACTTAAAAATAATAACACATCAACTGAAAATAAGCCCTAGAGTGTCTTCTTGAGGAAAAATAAATATAAGACCCTGTCTTATTTTTGGGGAAACACGGTACTATTTGCCAATTCATGGTAAGGGATACAAAAATTGATAGGACATTCCAAGAAAGGAAAATTTCAGGCTAGTTTCATTCATGAATTTAGATGCAAATATCCTGAAAATAGTATTAGCAAATTTATCCACTAACATCAAAATAGCCTGTGGGTGATCAGCTCAGTCTGCCCTAGAAACCCAGGGCCACACTTACCTACTGTTTTCTCCTGAACTTTAGGAGAAAGCCTTTTTTGTTTGTTTGTTTTTGGTGAGTATTTTAATAAAAAAGTTTAGCAAACCACATCTAGTAATATATGAAAAGGCCGAATCATGTTGGCTGTACTCCAGAATGCAAGCTTGGGTTAAGATTTGAAAATCAATGCAATTCATCACATTAACAGAATAAGGGAAATCATTAATTATTTCAATTCATTTCAACAGATGTTAATAAAATTCAAATCAAACATATGATAACAAAAAACTCCTAGCAAACTAGGACTCGAAAGGAATTTTATTAATCTGAAAAAAAGATATTCCCCCAAAAGAATCTTCAGCAAACATCATACTTCATGGTGAACATTGAAAGCTTTTCTCCTGGGACTGGGCACAAGACGGGTGTATGAGCTTCCTAGGGCTGCGGTAATAAGTAACCACAAACCAGGTTGCTTTATTTATTTATTTATTTTTTTGAGACAGAGTCTCATTCTGTTGCCCAGGCTACAGCCTAGCTCACAGCAACCTCAAACTCTTGGGCTCAAGCGTTCCTCCTGCCTCGGCCTCCCGAGTAGCTGGGACTACAGGCATGTGCCACCATGCCCGGCTAATTTTTTTTGTATATATTTTTAGTTGCCCAATTAATTTCTTTCTATTTATAGTAGAGATGGGGTCTTGCTCTTGCTCAGGCTGGTTTGAACTCCTGACTCGAGCAATCACCCGCTTCGGCCTCCCAGAGTGCTAGGATTACAGGCGTGAGCCACCGCACCCGGCCTTAAACCAGGTTGCTTTAAAAGAGAAATGTATTGGCTCACAGTTCTGGAGGCTAGTAGCCTAAATCAAGGTGTTGGCAGGGCCAGGCTCTCTTTGAAGGCTCAAGGAGAAGATCCTTCCTTGCTTCTTCCTAGCCTCTGATGGTTGCCAGCAAACTTTGGCATCCCTTGGCTTGTACACTCAGCACCCCATTCTCTGTCTCCATCTTCACAGGGTGTTGTGTGTGTGTGTGTGTGTCTATGTCTCTTCTCTTCTTTTTATAAGGACACCATCCTATTAGAGTAGGGCACACTCTACTCCAGTATGATCTCATCTTAACTTGATTATGTCTGCAAAGCCTCTGTTTCCAAATAAGGACACATTCACAGATACTGGAGTTTAGGACTTCAATATCTTTTTGGGGGACAATTCAATCTACAACCCAAGGACTCCTACTGTTTTCACTTCCTTTTGTACTACAGGTCCTAGGCAGTACAATAAGAAATAAATAAATAAAAGGCATAATGAAATAAAATGGTCATTATTCATAAATGATATAATTGCCTATGGAGAAAATCCTAAATAATTCACAGATAAATTATTAGAATGAATAAGTAAGCTTAACAAGGTTGGTATATAAAAAGCTAACATATAAATTAATTTTACTACAATATAATAGCAACAAACAGGTAAATATATGCTTAAAATGGTACAATTTATAATAGCATAAAAAACCAAATACTTGGAAATCAATCTAATAAAATATATGTAAGCCATCTGGGCAGAAAGCTATAAAATCTTATTGAGATAAATTAAAGAAGACCTAAATATGCCATATTCATGAGAAGACTCAAAATTGTAAATTTGCCAAGTCTTAAATGATCTATAGATACAATGCAATCCCAACCAAAATCCCTGTATGTGGAAACTGACAAGCTGATTCTCAAGTTGATATGGACATGGAAAAGGTCAAGAATAGCCAGGAATTTGTTGAACAAAGTTGAGAGGGCATGCAATACTGAATATGAAGACTTATTATAAAGCTATTTTAATTAAGATGGTGTGGTATTGGCACACAGACAGATAAATGGGCCACTGGACAGACTGCCCACAAACAGGAACATGCATATAAAGACACTTGCTCCATGGCAGAAATAGCACTAAAGAGCAGTGAGAAAAGGAGAGACTTTTCAATAAATTGTGATATAACAAGTAGATATTAATATGGGGGAAAAATGAATTTGTTCCCTACCTTATGCTATGCACCAAATAGCTACATGCAAAAACATGGATGGATTTCCCAAACATAAGTTAAGCAACAACAAAATACTGTAATATTCCATCCATACAAAGCTAAAACATAACTAAACTATAAGAAGTCAAGATTGCAGTTCATTTGGGGAGGAAAAAGTATTAACTGGCAGGAGCTATAAGAGGAGTTTCTAGAAAGCTGGTGAATATTTTATTTCTTTGCCTGGGAGTGGGGTGGGGTGGTGGTGGTATAAAAAGTAGTTAGGCACATTCATTCAACAACTATTTATAGAGAAATCACTATATACCAGGCATTCATTGTACTATATCGGGGTCATTAAAAGGCATGATCCCTGCTCTGGTGGTGCCTTCTTATGATAGCAGAGACAGACAAAAATAATTGCAGTAATGAACACAGATAAATATATACAATCACCTAGGGGGGTAGGTGCTCTGAGAGTCACCCTTAGCTTGCGGCACAACTTGGACTCTATTGGCGGTGGGGTTGAGGAGGAAAGCCATTAAGTCCTTCACTGCACTGAATCATAAAACTAGTTCAGAAGTGTTCTGCCCACCTCTAAAAAGCAGTGGTCACTCCTTTTATGTATAATGAATGGTTCCAATGACATTTTAGATCTACACTTAGTTACCCTTAGGTATCCCATCCGTTCATCCAAAGAAAATCTTGCCTTGAAAGATGGCACCAGCCCCTAAAAAAACCCAAGAGAATATCATTAGTTTTTAGTTAATTTTAGGACTCTTACTCTAAAATCAAAAAGTGCTTTTGAAATCCTAATTCAAAAAGCCATGAAAACAACCTGTTCCAGGTTATGAAATACTTATATGCTCATAGTAGAACACCTGGGAAATCAGAAAATTACAAAGAAAACAAAAATCCATAACTCTATCACCACAGCTACTGTAAATGTTGTGGTGCATCTCTTTCAAGTTTCGAAATGCCTATATATATATATATTAATTTTCGCAGTCGAGAACGGAATTCCTATGTGGTTTTGCAACCTGGGTTTTCCATTTAAAAATATAATGGGAATTTCCCCAGTCATTAAATAATCTTCCTAAACATAACTCTTAAGTTTGCAGAAAGTCCACCCTGTAGATATACCTACAAGTCAGTTAGTCTGCGCTGTTTCACAGGAAGAGTTCTGCTGACCTCGGCTGTGGGCCGTGTGGTAAACGCCGCCCTGCGTCGGCGGAGGCGAGATCGCGGGAGCGCCTCCAAACACGGCACTTACACCCACGGGGAGTTCTCCAAGGCACCGGCGGCATCGCGAACCCAGCAGGTCCCAGCCTCCCCCAGCGGGAATCACGTCGGTGAGAGGCCATCCCGGGACCGCGAGGGTCCGAGGCGCCGCCGACGGCTCCCCGACAGCGAGCGGCGGGCACAGGCGGGCGGGCACTCCCGCCCCCCCCGCGCCGCGCCGGGCGCACGCGCGTCCCCAGCGCCCTCGACTTTCCGCGCGGCCTCCGCGCCGACCCGCACGCCCCGGCCGAGGGTCCGCGCCGCGCCCGGCCGCGGGCTCCCTCGCCTGGAGCCAGACGCGCGGCGCACGGGTGGGGCGCCCCGCCGCTCGCGCGCCCGAGTCCCGGCCCGCCCGCCGCGCGCCGGCGGGGGAGGAACGCGCCGAGTCCCCCGCCGCCCGCCGGTCCCAGCCCGCCCCCGCGGGCGCGCAGGCGCAGCGGCCCGAGCCCCGAGCGGAGCGGACCGGCGCTCGCCCCGGCGTGGTGGTCGCCGCCGCTCGCCATGGGCCCGGGGCCGCGGCTGCTGCTGCCGCTCGTGCTGTGCGCGGGGCTCGGCGCGCTCGCGTCTTCTCCGGGGCCCTCCGGCGTTCGCAGGCGAGGCCCCTTGGTGACGGCCAAGGTGACCCAGGGGCGGGCGGCAACTTCCCCTTACGTGGGCGCCGGCGCTCTGGGCGCGGGGACCTCGGTGGCGGGGCGGGCGCGCAGGGCGTCCCCGGCAGGCGGGCGGGGTGGGGTGGGGCGCCCGCGGGGGGGGGCGGCGCTCTCCCGGAGACTGGGGGCTCGGGGCTGCGTCCTCCCGCCCCCGCTGTTCGGACTCGGTCTCCCGGGTCGGTGGTCCGAGGTCACCAGCCTGGGGCCGGAGAGGCTTCCGGAACCGGCGGCCGGTTCTCCAGGAAGGAGACTGGCCCGTACTTCCCTCGGCGTGGCTGACTCGGGGGCACAGCCCACGAATTCGGGGGGCCTGGGGCGCGCGGGAGGAAGCGCGGGCAGGGGCTGGCGCCGGGCCACGCGCCGCGGACGTCACCAGCTGCCGGAGGAGCGCGGGGCAAGCCTGAGTGCCTCGCTCAAGTCGGAGGCCGTCCTCCTCCTCCGTTTAGGAGTCGCTGTCCTCCCCCGGAGGGAGAGGTTCGCTTTTAGACTGAGGGCTGGTGGGGCGGCCCTGGGCTTGGGATGGCGCTAGGTTGGGGACAGCTTCGATGGGGGCGGGGGCGGGAAGGGGAAATCTGCTGGCCACTGGTCTTTAGGGCTTCTTGGTACTTACTCTGCTTCAATTCTTCTTTTCAGCATATTTACCCAAGGTTAGAAGATAATGGGAGGGTGCAGGGAGAGAGAGAGGAAGGGAGGGAATAATTTGGTGCCCATGATCACTACTTCTGGAAAAACCCACTGGCAGTGGTGTCTTGGAAACTGGAGAGGGAGGCTGAAAGTGGTCTTAACAATCAGTCTGGGTTTGCCAGTGGAAATTATACTGTTGCACTAGTAGAAGGCTTAAATCCTTACAGCGAGGAGGGGGCGGTGCAGGGGCGTTCAGCATCTGATGCAGCAGAAGAGAGAACATAGTGGCCCAGCTGCGGGTGCACTTGAGGAACTCAGCCTGATGTTTTGGAGAAGCACAGATTCCACTCTCAGCCCTGGATCTTTTAGGCATATGTCAACTTTGGGAAATGGCTTGTGCAAGGCCCCAGAGCTGAACAGGGGTCTCTTGGGATAGTGCCATGAACATAAAATTCACAAAATTATGAAATGTCGATGGATGTAAACCCTAACATAGGTTAGGTGACATTTAAAAACACCTGAAAGTTGAGTAAAACCAACCTGGTGAAGACTCGGGAGGTGAAAGGAACTGCGCCTGCAAAGGTCTTCAGACAGGAGAAGCCTCAGAGCGCTCAGAGGATGCAGCGAGCTGCCGGTGGCTTCAGTGCACCATGAGAAGGGAGTGACCTGAGATGAGGTTGGAGGGGTGAACGATGAGAAGGGAGTGACCTGAGATGAGGTTGGAGGGGTGAGCGGCAGGATCATGCAGGGCCTCAGAGGCCACTGGTAAGGCGGGTGGGCATTGAGGCAATTGTTTTTGTAACTTGAAGTCTTATCCTAAGTGCAGTTAGAGCCACTGAAGGGTTTTAAGCGTGGGAATGACATCATCTCGTGTATGCTTTTAAGAAATGACCATGGCCGCTCAGTGGAGAGTGGCTGGGAGGTCATTCGGGGCTCCAAGACCAAGTCCAGACAGTGGCTTGTTTTAGTGTGGTAAACGTAGAAATGGGGAGCGGCTCAAATACAGAGTGCCCAGTTAGACGTGAATTTCAGATGAACAGTGAATAATTTTTAAGTGACTATGCCCCCTGCAATATTTTGTGAACAAGTTTCACCTGGGAGCATTTGCAATCCGATGGCGAGACCCATCCCGGAGCAAGTCAATTACAGTCAGTGGGTGGGGCGCAGTCTCAGACCTTGTAAAGGCTTTCTAGCGATTCTGACCCCAGCCTGGGCTGGGCACCAGTGGGGGAGAGAGCCAGGGGAGGAGGAAGCTGGGGCAGCCTAACCCCTAGCCTAGGGCACTGTCACTGAGGGAGTGGTTTCATGTACTCTGCTCTTGGAATTGTCACTCAACATATTTTTTCCCCACCAAATTTATCATTAAGTTCTAAAAGCTAACTGTGTAGGCGAATCTTAAACAGATTCAACTCTGTTGAATTATTATACTTTTTCAGTGAACTTTTTAAAATAACTAAATCTATTGGAAAATGAAGACATTAAAAGTAATTTCTCTGAGTGCAGAAAAATAGTTTAATTGGCCATTGCTCTCGTGTATTGTTTTCCCCAGCAGTCTTTTTGATTACTTCTGATTTCATTTAAAAAGAGGAATCTGTAAATAAGAGAGGTGCCACGAGGCCTGTTAGCATCACTGACCTCCTCCATGGGTCCTGCTGCTGGGCCAGCCCGGCAGCTCCTGCCCCAGCCATGGAGGCTCAGGTTGGGCTCAGGTTCCCTTGTCTCCGATTTTGCAGCCCTGCATTTTCTAGCCAGTGCCATGGGATCTGTGCAGGGTCTGGCACCGAGGGTGCACAAAGTAGTGCTGCCATCCTTGCAGCTGCATGCACGTCACCACTTGTGAGCACATTAGCATCTAGTGGCCAAGAGGCTGCGGCTGACTTTGGCAAGCTGTCCAGTGTCCAAGGCTCAGTTTCCTCCTCTGTAAAATGGAGACAGAAATAATATCTACCTGGGAGGGTTCTGCACTAGATGTGATCAAGCAAATGTCTTAGTCTGTTTGTGTTGCTATAAAGGAATACCTGCAGCTGGATACTTTGTGAAGAACATGTTTATTTAGCCCATCCTTCTGCTGGCTGGAAGGTTTAAGATGGAGCATCTGGTGAAAACTTCAGGCTGCCTCCACTCCTGGTGGAAGGCGGAGGGGAGCTGGCCGGCTGGCTGGTGTGTGCAGAGATCACACCAGTAAGAGAGGAAGCAAGCAAGGGGCGGGTGCAGGGCTCCTTTTAACAACCAGCTTTCCTAGGAACTAATAGGAGGAAAACTCCCTCCCTCCACTCACTGCCTGGAGAATGGCACCAAGCTGCCCTTGAGAAATCACCCCATGACCTAAACACCTCCCACTGGGCCCCACCTCCAACACTGGGGTCAAATTTCAACTTGAGGTTTGGTGTGGGAGGGGACAAACATCCAAACCATAGCAGATAAGGTGCTTAGTCCACACTGAACCCCTTAACATTACCTAACTGCTTGTCCTGGCATTGTGCCAGGCACTGGGGGAACTAACACTGTCTGCCCCTTAGGGGTTCCCTGCCTAGACTGGAAGAGCGTATTAATGACAGATGGCAGTTCAACTAGAGGCAGCCTGGGGTTGGGATTCTAGCTCTCACATCACTTAACCGCCCTCATTCCTACTTTTTTCATTTGTAAATTAATGATAATATTTCCTGCCCCCTCCCAGGGTGTGGTGAGGATTAATTATATAAGATATTCATGTCAGTTTCCTTCCCTCTTTGTCCCTCTTCCTCCAGTTTCTCACCCTTTATGTGAATTCCCCCATCCCCAACCCCATACATTCCCTCAGCCCCCGCCCCAGTCAGGCCATGGTGACCTTAGAGTGAGCCTCCAGATTTTCTTTCTCCCTGCTTGGGTGACATTCCCAAAGCCTCCCATGGCCCTATTCTTTCCCTGCCCTCTGTTGCCTAATGAAACTCACTCTCTCCTCTGCCTTTCTGAATGGGTGGGCAGCTGCCTTCCCAGTCCCCTAACCGCCGTTGTGGTCGGAGGGCTGGGCCGCTTCTCTGCACACAGACCACACTCCTGCCTTGGTGCTTTGGTCCCAGAAAGAACTCGCAGGGCCGGGCCTGTTCGCATCTTGTCCTTGGAAACTACTGCCCTCCTCCCAGGCCGGCATCCCATCCCACTGTGCCGCCTCCAGGCCGCCCTTCCTCGGCCGGGTGTGCTTGCCCTATCTCTTTATTTCAAGCTACCTTAGGACAGGGATTTCCTTGTGCAGTTTGAGCCTTCACATTGCCTTTTACATAGATCTTTAATAAATACTTGTTGACTAAATAAGATTTTATTTTATCCTTTACATTAGAGTCGGGAAAACCGTGTTTTCTTGCATTCACTCTTGAAGGATACTGCAATTTGGGGGAATAAATCATATTAGTATGCATGCTAGGCTGTGTGTAAAAAAATAAGATTTTTATTGAAGAAGTATGCTGGGTAACAGGTTCTTTTCCTTCATCGTCTCATGCTGCTCTCCCAGATTTATTCTCTTTGCTTTCTAAACTTTGACAGGCTTTATTCTCTCTGCTTTACTTTAAAAGTCTGGGAGACTTTCCTGATGTCTTATACGATACTTCTTTTGAGATTATGTTCCTGATCCTCTTTCTGGTGCGGCTTCATTTTTGCCGGTTATTGAATTTTCCCCTTGGCGTGGAAACCCCTTTGGAGACACTGCTGCTCTCTGACACCAGCCCCGCAGCGACCCGGCGCGTGGGGCAGCAGCTTCCTGCCCCGCCGCGCGGGATTGCTCTCTTCTGCGTGCCTCCTCCCCACGCCGGGCCTTTTATGCATTCTATAAAGTGCTTCTGTATAAATACTAATAAAAGTTTTGCTGCTATGGCCATGTAAAAATTTTAAAATGCCACATGGAACACTAAATACCACATCACCAGTGACAGACGTACTGATGTATTGGCAGAAGCTCTTGTCTTGAACTAAAGCTTGACAGTCTTTACTTAGTGATTTTTCTAAACTGTAAGACATCTTTTTTCTTTGACAACCCTTCTTATATTTTTTAAAGCCATCTCTTGAATGTCTTTTTTTACCCATTCAAACAGTAAATTGGTTCATATAATCTAAACTCGCTAATAGAATGCCCTTCCACTCCATGGCCTTTTCAAGTGTTCTGTCTCAGAATCATGGTAACACAGTGATTTGTAAAGCAAAATGTATATAATTTCGTTTCAGATGAAACAGCTTAAAAAAGAAAACTTCTGGCCTGGTGTGGTGGCTCATGCCTATAATCCTAGCACTGTGGGAGGCCGAGGTGGGCGGATCGTTTGAGCTCAGCAGTTTGAGACCAGCCTAAGCAAGAGCAAGACCCCATCTCTACTAAAAAATAGAAATAAATTAGCTGGACAACTAAAATATATATATTAGCTGGGCATGGTGGTGCATACCTGTAGTCCCAGCTACCCGAGAGGCTGAGGCAGAGGGATCGCTTGAGCCCAGGAGTTTGAGGTTGCTGTGAGCGAGGCTGATGCCATGGCACTCTAGCCCGGGCAACAGAGTGAGACTCTGTCTCAAAAAAAAAGAAAAAAAGAGAACTTCTAAGGTTTAATCTGCAAAAAGTGACACACTCAGTTCTAGATATATGTTTTCCTTTTCCTGTTCTAAAACATTGTGGTAAAGAAAGAATAGATTCTTCTTGGGTAACTTTGGGAACATGAGGACTGACTCCAGTGTCTGAGTTTGCAGGGTGAATGGCTTTGTCAGGACCCGAGCGTAACTTTTGCTGTCCTTTGGATGAGGCTGGGGACCTGGTGCCGTACTGTCCTCATATGCAAGTGGCAGGTCATTTGATGGACCACGGTGTGTCTCATCATCTTTCCCAGTTTCTTGGATAGCAGACATCTATTGAGAACTCATTGGGAACCTGGCACTGTTTGAAATTGTAAAAAAATAAATCTGGATGGTTAGCCCTTTTCTCTCCTCGCCAGTTTTTTTCTCCTGCCAGATTAGAGAGCATTACCTTTTAAAAGAGCCATGCTTTCCACTCTGACCTTCATCCACAAAGCCAGGAAACAGGAAGTAGCAGCAGCATTTGTCTGGGGTATGAGGGGAGAGGAATTCTTGAAGACATTGTTGGCTGATTCTAGAGTATTAGACAAGACGTTAAATTCAGTACCTAGAACAGTGCCTGGCCCGTGGGTGGTGCTCAATAAATGTTTGTTGAATGAATATGTGTGAGTGAAATGCACCCACACGGTGGTTTTAGAGTACCTTTAATTGATATTATGCTCCTTCATGACTCCTTTATAAAATATTGGGGGACAGGGCCTTTGTATTTGGATCAATTCTCAGATTTTAATTTTGACTTGCCTTGTATTTGTGGCTTTTCCACGTCATAACCTTCTACTCTGCCTTTCAATCACACACAGGTCTTCTTTGATGTGAGGATTGGAGACAAAGATGTTGGCAGAATTGTCATTGGCCTCTTTGGAAAAGTTGTGCCCAAGACTGTGGAAAACTTTGTTGCTCTAGCAACGGGAGAGGTAAATCTTGGTTTTATTTCCTTTCACTGTGCACAAAATCATATCTTCTTTCTTTTAAGCCAAATATAAAGAAGTCTTCTGGGAAAATAAGTATTAAATTAGTATGTCAGATGAACCTGTGACATCTTACCATATTTTGCTTTATTTTCCTATAACATCTATACGATTCAGGCACTCAGTGCCCTAAGGCTTCTAGAAATTTGGGGAAAATAATCATCAAGTGAAAATGCACTTTACTCTCTTTTTACTTATTCACATTAATACTTCTGTAGTTTGTTATTTTTTGGTAAGCTAATGATAAATTTTTCCCAGTAAATTGTTGCTGGGACCTAATCAAGTTCTATAGATACTTTATTTAATTTTCTCATTTTTTTTCTTATTTTTTTTGTAGAGATGGGGTCTCACTGGGTCATTCCCAGATAAACACTGGGTTTATCTTTCAGTATGGGTTATATCTATTTGTGTACTTAACGGAAATAATCTCTTTAGAAAGGATATGGATATAAAGGAAGCCAGTTTCATCGCGTCATCAAGGATTTCATGATTCAAGGAGGCGACTTCACCGCTGGAGATGGCACTGGCGGTGAGTCAGTCTGTGCCTTTCTCCTTTCCACTTGCCAGACTGGAACCTAAGATTAAGCCAGTATATGAACCCAGCATGTTAAAATCCCAAGTTTAAGGAACAAAGTCATAAAGACAACTGTATTTCTTTAAGAAGGATAGAGTTTTGAGGACCTGGTCTACCAGAATCTTAGTAGGTGTGAATGAAGGAGGAGTCCTGATTTGAAGCAGGATTGTTTTGGTGTTCATTGTCTTTCCATGGTCATTTGGCAGGATGCTTTGCAGTTACTAAAGTGCTAGACTGCTAGTCTGCAGCCACAGGAAGAAGAGGTGGAGAACTTAAAACTGCGCCCGCAGAGGCAGGTGTTGGGAGGAGGACCGAGGGGAAGACCGGGGTTTCGGGCAGGATCCCGGTGCATTTCCCACCTTCTTTCAAAAGTCCTGCATTTTATTGTCAGCTTTTTTAGTAATTAAAAAAAATTACAGTATAGCTGAGTTGTCAAAATTACAATATGAACTAAATCTTATGAACAAAGTTTGAGTTTAAGAAAGTACAAATAATTTAATTTCTTGAGTTCCAAGCCTCCCTCAGCTTGCTTCTCATTGAGGATTACAGCTACCCAGCCCCATGGACCATTTTCTCTCAGAAATGTAGTGAGTTCTTTTCCTGAACACACAGTGTATGTGGAACTACACAGAATTTAAGTTGACTTTAGGTTTCAGATTTTCCATTCAGCAAATACTGGGTTGGGTGGATATTAGTTGTCAATTTTTAAAGGAACACTCAGGCCATTTTCAGGTACTATTTCTAATTTTATATTTATTGCAATGGTTTCTTTATTTGTGTTAATAACAAACATGGCTACCACTAAATGCTTTGGTTTGTCACACACTTTGTGAAAATTACTTTTGGTTCTTGCAAAAGTGCTGCAGGGTACAGGGACGTAGGATGGAGCAGAGAACCGTGTTCAGGTTACTCCAGGTAACAGGGGTTGCTGGGAATGCTCTTGGAACCACCCCAGCTGCTGCAGAGCCAGCTCTCCCTGGAAAACCCTGCAGCCTGGGCTTGCGCCTGCACCTCCAGTGCCGGGGTCCCACCTTCCTGCCCAGGGCCAGCAGGAGTGGTGACCGAGCTTCACTCTTTCTGCTATTGTTTTCCTCTCGCTACTTTCCCTGCCCAGTGTGGGCATGTCTTGACTTAAAAGTCTCTGAATTTTGGAGAGAGGAACTTTTGGACCATTAAAATTTAGTCTAGACCCCTCTGTAAAAGCTCTCCTACCAGGACACCTCAACTGCCAGTGACCAACCAGTCATAAATCGCTTTTCCTTGAGATCCACTTCTGGGTCTTCTCACCGAGCCAGGATTTTGAGGTTGGAACTGATGGGTAAGGAGCCCTGCAGAACGGGAGGTGGGCATGGTGGGCCCTTGAGGTGTTGGAAAATGGGCAGACACTTCTCTTGGTCCATGGGAAAAGGTCTGCTCTGCCTGCAGGTTTGGTAGAACTCCAGACCACATGCCTCCCTGGGTTCTCCTGTTCACGGCTGATCACTGGGTCCCCCACTTGCTATCACCCTCTGTGTCGTGCTGAAGTCGTCATACCCAACGACTTCCAGACTAGCTGCTGTTGCTGTTGTTGCTAAGGAAAGAAAAAGCACCAGCTTTAGAGTCAGCAAGTCAGATGTTCAAATTCTGCTCTGCCATTTTCAAGTTTTCTAACCTCTTTTTCTCATTGTAAAATGGGACTGAGAATACCTGTTCCTCAGGGTGGTTATGGGAATTAGCTAAGGGTGTATACTGAGTGCTTGGAGCACCCTGGTTGGGCGCTGAGGTGGGAGTGGCCCAGGACAAGTAATCTGAGCCTCAGGACAGAAACAGAGCCACCGGGATGGCTCACCCACCTTTCTGTCTGGCTTTATGAGGCCATCCTGCCCTTAGTTCCTTCTCATTCCAGAGTGAAATCATTGACCTGCTTCATCACAGTTTGGCCATTGGTTTGTGGCCAGAGGGTACCCTGACATCCTGTGCCAGTTGGAGCTTTTTGTTTATTTTAGGCCCTGGTGCCCTGATTCCTTAAGGAGTTAATTTTATCTCCTCCTTCACTTCTTGTGTTTGAATACCTTTTCCCTATCTCTACCTCCTGTAGGGTTCTACTAACTGATTCCCCTAAAAACTTACGTTTCTCTTAGAGTTTACTTTGTGTGGTATCTGTTGACTTTCCTCTTCTGCCTTTTGTCTCACCCAGGTGTGAGCATTTATGGTGAGACATTTCCAGATGAGAACTTCAAGCTGAAGCATTATGGCATTGGGTGGGTGAGCATGGCCAATGCTGGGCCAGACACCAATGGCTCTCAGTTCTTTATCACCTTGACCAAGCCCACCTGGTTGGATGGCAAACACGTGGTATTTGGAAAAGTCATTGATGGGATGGTAAGGTGGTATGCTTTTTCTCTTTCAAAGCTTTATGTTTTTAATGAGAGTACTGTTAGTGATTTATTTTAATCTTAAAATGTGCTTGTTAGCGACCTATTATTATACCTGGCTTCTTCAAAGGTGAACAAATTCTGTATGGTATGGCATTTTAATTGTTAGGGGCACTGGAGCAGCAGCTAGGGACTTGACAAGGAGAAGTTAAGTATTTAATTTATTTCACTACTTGATATAAATAGAAAGCCCCTTCTAATGGAATCAAATAAAACCAGGGCCCATATAGATATACAATGGACTATTATTCAGCCTGAAAAAGAAAGGAAATTCTGACCCATGCCATAACATGGAGGAACCTTGAGGACATTATGCTAAATGGAATAAGCCAGTTGTAAAAAGAAAAATACTGTATGGTTCCATACTTATCTGAGGTATCTAAAGAAGTCACATTCGTAGAAACAGAAAGTATAATGGAAGCTGCGGGGGGTGGGGGGAGAAGGATAAGTGGGAAGTGTGTTTAATGGGTACAGAGTTTCAGTTTTGCAAGATGAAAAAGTTCTGGAGATTGGCTGCATAACAATATGGATACACTTAATGTTACTGAACTGTGCCCTTAAAATGAATAAGATGATACATTTTATGTGTTTCTTACTACAATGAAGCATAAAATACTAAAAAACAGAACCCCACATGGTTCAGTGCAGATACCAAGTCACATCCAAAGACACACAGATAGCAACCAAAATTATTAAAGAGAATTCAAATCTGTGAGATCTCAAAGAATGTCAGAGGGGTCCAATTCATAACGCATAGGGACACTCCTTAAAATCCTCATTATCTTTTACTGTCAACATTTCTCCTCAGCAACTGCCCGAAGTAGCTGTCTCGGCTCCTAAACCGGCAACTGCGCAGTCTGCCCAACCTAGCCCGGGACCGTCCTCGGCTCCCCTGCCCACTTCTGTATTTCTTTCACAACTTTCTACCTGTTACTCTGATTTTGTCCAGCAGAAGTCCGGGAACTGAGCCAGCAGACTCAACCCTGTTTGGGAAAGCCATCAAAAGCCTACTTTCTTGGTCCTCGACCATCCTCACCCCCTTCAGTGTGGAACTTGTGAGGCCTTCCCGGGCAGAGCAAAGGGCCTTCCCACCACTGTGGGTTTGGGGTGGCATTAGTGTTTGGACTCAACCTGTACATTCATGGCTTGGGGTCTCCTTTAAAATGGGCAAACCCAGAAGTATGTCCACTTCTAATTTTGCTTTCTGGCCCATTTGATTATGCCCAGAACTATCACAGGGTAGAGCTAGAACTGACTCAAACTCCATGTTAACTCTTATATTAGGTGTAGCAGATGGATAGAAATACCTTTTATTAGAGCTAGGTGTTTACAAAAATATGTAATTTTTTAATACAAAATGCTTATTTAAAAAGAAGGGAGGAAATAGACCAATATATTCTCTGAGTGACAAGGTAGTGAATGAATTTTATTCTGCGATGTATATATTTTCTGCATTTTCTAAGTATTCCACAGTTAACTTGCATGGTTTCTATAGTCATTAAGAAAAACTTATTTCACACTTGGGCTTTTGGAGTTAGCATTGACTTTACCCGTGGACTGCCACAGCTGCTGGTCAGAATTGAACCACGTGTCTACTTTTCTCTTCCCAGACAGTGGTGCACTCCATAGAGCTTCAAGCCACTGATGGGCATGACCGTCCACTCACCAACTGCTCCATCGTCAACAGTGGCAAGATAGACGTGAAAACGCCCTTTGTGGTTGAGGTCGCTGACTGGTGACACAACTAGCAAGAAAGCAAGGAGCGTGCTTTGGCAGGGCTGTGCGTGTGTTTGTGTATCTGTCTCTCTGTCTTTGTCTTTCAATTCCTCAGTTACTGTTTTGTTTTTTTCACTTTCTTTTAATTTTCTATCCCAGATCACAGGAGCTATAAAAATCAACCAATCAGTGTTGAGTTTGCATAAATTTTGGTAAATCACTCGCTTAGGGTGATTTGAACTTAGAAATATCCCATTCCTCCAATGGTGCTATTTTTAAACTAGAAAACTTTGTATTGGATTCTTTTTTAAAAGAACACAGTAAATTTTTATTGCTGATTTCATTATGATCCCCAAGTTGAGTGATGCTGAAGATTTGTCTGAAACAGATGAGAACATGAAGTTTATTATTTTGTATTCAAATAGAAATTCAGGTAAATGGAAATTTGATTAGTATAATCTGTGTTACAGGGATTTTTACATGATAAAAAGGTGCTTTTGTGTTCTCTATATTAAATACTTTTTATATGGATCAACTCTTTTTTGCAAGACTTTTTTTAAAATTTAAAGTTAAAAAAAACAGAGTTCTATAAATCAAAATACCCATGCATTGGATAATTTGGGATGGAAATGCAGAGAAACACTGTCAGAAAGTTCCTTGACTCCAGTTGCAGTAGAAAGGAATGTTTTTGTTACTTACATAATGGGGATTAAGATTCAGGCTGTATTTAAACTAGATGGGAAAGTAAAATCCTGCCCGGCCTTGTGGCATACCTGGCCGTGACCGAGTGTGCCCAATCTCTGTTCAGCTGGGAAGCTTGACCTGTTGGAACAGGGTGCCATGGCCTCCCTCCAGGACTCACGCAGTGAGGACACAAAAGGACGCATCTCTGGACTTGCATTCCAAGAAAATTGCCTCAGTGAGAGATGAAATGTGTGTTACTACTGCTGATTCGTAAATTAGAGAGCAATGGGTCAATTTTTTTCCAACAAATATTTATTGAGGGTCTTTGACATGCCAGGTACTAGTTTGAGTTCTGGGGACAAAGGAAAGGACAGAGGGGGAAGGGGCTGACATGGGAAGGACAGAGCACAGACCGGAAACAGAACAGAGTGGTGAGTGCCGTGAAGAAGACACGCTTGCTTGCTGCAGCGGCTGGCAGACAGAGGAGCATCCGTAACGTGGCCACGGACGGACGGCCTCTGGCGGGATGCGCCAAGGCCTGAGGGAGCGACCTTCCAGGAAGAAGAGGAGATGCGAGAGTCCTGAGGCAAGACTGAGTGGATTCCACGCAGAAGAGCGAGCCAGTGTGCTGGGGCCGGGTGTGCGGAGGAAGCAAGACGGGCAGGGTCAGAGAACTGAGGCTGGGACCAGACCAGATCTGCCCTGGGCGCCAGGGAGAGGAGTTCTTGTATTCACAGTACGACGGGAGCTGTCAGTCTTGAGTTGGGGAGAGGTATGATATCATCTGCATTTAAGAAATATCTGCTACAAGGAGAGTTTTTATGGAGCGGCTAAAGTGGAAGTGGTACTTATCAGGAAGCCCGAGCCTTCCCATCCCTGGAATCCCCACTCCTGGGATTTGCTTTAGAAAGTGATCTGAAGTTGTAATGGACATCGTGCTTTGGGCAGCCCAGCATCCAGTCCCCCTTTTCTGGTGATGCCTGTGCTATTTCTTATTTTTTCTTTGGAGAATCACACCATTCACTCAGCCATCTCTTGTCCTTCGAGTGGGCTGACCCTGCACACGGGCACACACTTGACTTGGCAACCTCATCCTAACGCGGAGTATTTGCTGAGGGTGGGATGGAGCTGCAGTGTTGCCCCGCATGGTCCCTGTGACGGCGACAAATCATGCTGCATGAATATATGACAGAGTGTCAGGTGGTAACAAGTCTGTGAATTTAAAAAGACCAGGGAGAGGGAACAGAGTGTGGGGGAGGCCTGTGGGTGGGGCCGAGGGCGCAGCAGGCCCAGGGACCCTGGGGCGGAGTGTGGAGGGGCCAGAGCAACTTGAGCTCAGGGAAAGCCGGGTGTGCAGAGTGAGGAAGGTGGAGGAGGCGGGGGAGAGGCAGGGCTGTCCTGTGGGCCAACCAGAACATTCCCTTGCCAGCCCCAGTGACTGGCTCAGGCCCAGGTGTTAGACCTCAGTCATGTTAACGAGCCCCCCTCCTTGGACTTCTGCTGGAATTACTGGGAATTATTGGGAAGGGTAGCTGTCTTCTAGAAGACCATGTAAGGGAGCAGGCCTAAGGATGAAGCCAGCGCCGAAGGAAGCTGGTTCAGACCACTGAAAGATGGATTCCCGAGGCTGTCACTTAGCCCCTGTGTCCAGCCGTGCCTGAAGCTAATCCACTCCTAGGTTTTCGCTACGTAAACCAAAACATTTTTCTTAAGCCAGAATGAATTGATTTTCTTTGACTTGACACCTAAAGTCTTTCTCTAATGAGGCAATACTGAAAACTGTGTATGTATAAAGATGTGAATTATAGAATATTTATGATAACAAAAATACTGGCAGCAACTTGAATGTCCCAAAATGGCTATAAAGCATACATCCCATAATAGAATAGTATGCATTAAAGACTGATGTTACAAAACTTAGAGTGACATGAGAAAATGATTTAAAGAGAAAAGCAGAAATTCTGTGTGCAGCATGATCTCAGTTATGTAAATGCATTCTCATAAAGCACATGCAACAAAATGTAAATTCACACAAAGTAAATGCAAATGATGGGGTTTCATTTTACTCTTTTTATGTTCTTTTTTCAGTCTTTTAATTTTTCTCTAGGGTGCCTTTCTTTTTAATAATTAGAAAAATAAATAAAAATTTTAAATAAAGGTAATATGGGAGGAATTTGGAAACAAATGAGCTCTTACACATGCAAAGTGCCTCACGTCTCCAATGTCAGACAGCACACAGCCACGTAGCCCCTGTGCATAAGGACGTATACTTTACCCCGTATTTGCTATCTGGTTTTTCATTAGTGTGAGCAGAAATAACACCTCTCTAGTCACAAAGCAAAGTGGTTCATTCTTGAAGTGCTGAAATTCTGAGACCACTAGTGCACAGTGGTCAGTGATCATTTTACATGTTATGCCAGATGACTGATGAGTGAGGGACACACCCCTGCTAAAAAACAGCTTATTCCTTATACACCAAGAAAATCCTCATACCAAAAACATCAGCAAACTGACGACTATGAAAATACAAACTGTTACTTTTTATAGTCTAATGTTTTCTGCAAAAGCTTTGAAATAAACAGTTTGCTATTTTGCTGATCATGTTACTAAAAGGACGCATTTGTAGCTGTGAACTGGTATGGAATCAGGAAAATTTACACTGGATAACACCACCAAGCCCAAATTATTATAAGTTAGGCTCGAATCACTTTAATAAACAATCGAAAACATTTTGGTATTCTTAGCCATAATCTATTTTGTTCTCTTACAAGTGTTATTTAGTAATTTTCTGGATCATCAAATGAGGATTCAGTAAAATTTATTTTGGGGTCAGATTACTTGGAATGACACTTTTGGAATTATCAACTACTTCATTTCTGATGAATTTTTAGGTTTTGAACAGGACTCACCAACCTCATTTCTCAGTTCAGCCGTTTTGAGTTACATAGAGACAAAAGCATGGCAAGGATTTTATAGCAGGAAAAGGATTTGTTTTTGTTTTTCAGCATTCTTATAATTCAGACAGCTGAAGAAATCTTTGATCTAGAAGGCTTGGAAATTCAAAGCCCCCTCAAGGCACTTTTTTTTTCAAATTAAGGAAGAGTAAAAACAGTATTTGTAATGGAAAATTTTGGTGCTGTTAAGTACATAACAGCTTTTACTTAAAGTCTGTAATTCATCTTGTGGATTTAAGATTTTGGCCAAGAGTAAGTTTAGGTGTGATATAACATAACCTCCTCCAAGAGTTGCTAGTGTTATTGACATTCTAGAGTGGTGGAAAAACAGCTGGCATTAATGCAGAATTAGACTTAGTCACAGGAGTTCTGTCAGAAAACGAAGATCCATCTGACAAATACTGAGTTAAAACAAAATACATTTAAAAAATCCCAGCCGTAGTTAGATCAGAATGCTTAGGAGTCACAAATTTGAAGGACTTGGAGAACTCAACATCCTGAAACACCTTCTATTACCTACTTTTGAAGTTTTATTAGGAGTCATGTTAAGTTTCCACACTTAGTAATTTTTCAGAGCATGAAGGGCTTTCTTCCCGGAGCGCACCGGGCCCTGCACGCGCTGTTTAAACTGCGGTCGCCGTCTGTCCTGGGTGGTAGATATTGGGTCCTGTTATTTGGATAGATAGCTCTTCTTGAAAATTTGACCCTTCTTCTTCCAGTGGTCTGGGAGACAAGTCTGCCTCCCGAGCCTCTTCCGCACTGCAGAAGCCACACTGACAGACAGACAGACAGACGCCCTCAGGAGGGAGGAGAGCCCGCCAGCCTGCAGCACAGGAACTCAAGCCTTGATTTAACGCTGTCAGCCTTAAAGTGTCTCTAACAGAGACTCGGGAGCTCCTGGATGGAGCCTCCGGCAATGCCTGCTCCTGGCCGCCCTTCAGGACTCAGGGTGTGGCTCACGTAGGGCACCCCCCCCCATGCCTCCTCGCACGGGTTACACCTGCCAACTGCCTGGTGGGACTCAGGGTGTGGCTCACGTAGGGCACCCCCCCATGCCTCCTCGCACGGGTTACACCTGCAAACTGCCTGGTGGGACTCAGGGTGTGGCTCACGTAGGGCACCCCCTCCCCCCTTGCCTCCTCGCACGGGTTACACCTGCAAACTGCTGGCCCCCTCCCCCTGCACTGCGCGCTCCTCTGGGCAAGCATCAGGCCTCGCTCCTCAGCTACGCCCAGTGTTCACACCTAACTGATGCCCGGGAAGCATGTTCTGAATAAACGTCCAAAAAAATGCCTAAATTGATACTATGAGGTACTTAGCTCTCAAGCCTCTAAAGATTGCCAAACATTGGATTCATCCTCAACTGTTTCTTCTATTTTTAAAAAGACTGTTATCTTTTTTAAAAAATAAACTTGTCCTCTTTATTTTCAGAGTTGAGGTTTGGAGGGCATGACAGAAATAGATTGGCAAGAAACCAGGAGGGTGCAGTGGGAGGAGAGGCCCGGGCAGGGCGAGGTGTCCCCAAGGATGGTGGCGGCTTCACGTCAGCCCAGTCGTGAGCGTGGCAGGGAGGAGGCCCTCTCCCTCGAGTCTCGGGCATGTGGACGTTGGCGTCCACTCTGGAAACCTCTAGAATCCGCATTTGTCAGCTGACTCCCGTGGCCCCCGGAGCCCCACGAGGTGACCGTGTACGCTCATACCACGCACCACTGGTCGATTCAGGTAGCAGCGTGACGCGCTTCGACTGAGGCCTAAGTCACAGGTTTGCTCTCTGTGCTTTGCTCTGTTCCGGCCACAGAGCCTGCTCCTGACCCTAGCGAACTGGGGGAAAGTTGGAGATGGTTCAGCACAGATCTGTCACCGCAGTGGGGACAATCCTGGCTCATTTCCCGC